GACTGATCTGCCTCGCCAGGGAAGAGCGCAACGATGGTGCCAACTTGGGCCAGTGAAGCGGCGTCCTCCACAACTAGATTGAAGAACAAAAAACGACAGCAACTTGTCTGTTCCCCTTCCCCCAATTCCCCATCACTGTTCCCATCCCCCCAATTACCCAATAAAAATCTTTAAAAAAAGATGTGATTTTTATTCTTTTAGTTAATGTATACCAACATGCTTATAATATCTAGTATATCTGTAAAGTAAGATATGTTATATTTTGATATAAGGAAAGAATCCTTATTAAATAACAAGTTAGAAATTAAATAGCATTTGTAAACCGCCTTTCTTCTGATTTTATTTCATATGCAGGCATCTTTTTGATCCTTTGTTTGATGTCTATTTCATGAGCAAATTTTGCCTGACAAGTAGTGTGAGTTAACTGATTTCATTCATTTGTTTTTTTATAAGTAGATCAGATGCAAAAAAAAGCTTCTGTGGCTGACAGATTTTTCTGTGATCGTACCTTCTAAGCACTCTTCTCTTGGATATTAATTTCCAGAAATCCATGAGCAAACTTATTTTAGTCTTAGCAAGCATGGTAGCAGGTGTCCTTTTAGAAGATTTGGGACATAAGTGATCCAGGAATGCTTACTTACTACTGGAAATTATCCTCAGAGTAAAAACAATAAGTTCATGAAGGGAACATGGCTTCTGTTAACCTCTGTGATGCTTCTCTGTGTTTGATTGAGTCAAAATTTCCTCCTTAATGACGGTCTGACCCAGGGCTAGACAGCCCAGGGGTCAGCACTTTTTCTGTAAAGGGCCAGATAGTAAATAATTAGGGTTTCTTTGTTTTTTAATCCAAAATGTGTTTATTGGGATGGTTCTTCGCTCATTCTGATTCAGGATGCTTTTAGTGCTGCTAAAGGAGCATCCTTTTGTAAGCCTTGCTCCTCCTGGAGGCTGACAGAGGACAGCGGAGCAGCCAACACAAAAAACTACCATTTGTGCATGGCTAACGACGGTGATGATTTTGTAGCATCTTCTGCATTTCACATCCATGAAGTAGGAATTGGTACTCTGCACCAGGCGCTGCTTCTTGTGTTTCCTCTTCTCTTCTGGAGAGGGATGCAGGAGATCCTTAGTGAAAGGCATGTTCTTGTGAGGAGGTTGTCACCCCCGAAAGGGAAATAATTAGGCTTTGCAGTCTATACAGTCTCTCTTGCAACTCCTCAAATCTGTCATTGTAATGAGAAATCATCCAAGGACAGTGTGAGTAAAGGAATGAATATGACTTTTCCAGTCAGTAGGTGGCAGACCTAATTCGATCTGCAGGCTATAGTTTACTGATCCTTGCTCCTCCTCAGGGGATGACAGTGGAACACCAGAAGCAGCATACTGAGCTTGGGAGCCTTAGTGACCTAACCACTTTCTAAGGATTTTTACAAAATATGTTGTGCATTTGATTCATTCATTTGCCCAAAACAAAACAAAACAAAACAAACAAACAAACAAACAACAAACAAAAAAACCCCATCTCTTTTCTGGGTCATAATATTCGACTTAACATGATGTTTCTTTTTTTTTTCTGTTTTATTATTTTTTTCAGTTACAGTTGACATTCAGTATTATATTAGTTTCAAGTGTACAGCATAGTGATTAGACATTTATATAATTTATGCAGTCATCCCCTGATTAGTCTAGTAGCCACCTGGTACTAGACAAAGGTGTTGCAACATTATTGACTATATTATCTATGGTGTACTTTTACATCCCCATGACTATTTTGTAACTACAATTTGTATTTATTAATCCCTTCACCTTTTCACCAAGCCCCTCAGGCTCCCCACTCCTCTGACATCCATTAGTTTGTTCTCGCTGAGTCTTTCTGTTTTGTTTGTTCATTTATTTTGTTCTTTAGGTTCCATATACAAGGGAGATCATATGGTATTTGTCTTTCTCAGTCTTATTTCACTGAGCATAATGCCTTCTAGGTCCATCCATGTTGTCAAAAACATGATGTTTTACAAGAAAATGTATTTGTGCAAGTACTTGGGTGATCTAGAAAACCATCAAGGGAAAAAATAGTTTTCATGAAGAGAAAAGTAGAATTTTTCCAAATGAAATGCCTGATGACAGCAAGATTTAGTTCTAATTTTATGTTTTAACTGTTGATGTGTGCAGTTATTTAAATACTGGTTTTTACAACATTGCAATCGTATTGAGAAATAATTTATGATTGAGAAATAATTTAGGTCGTTATAAATAATTGGGAGAAGTGATGGGTTATTTCAGTAGGCACCTTAGAATTCTTTCCATTACAAGAAAAACATGATTCATAATTCTGTAAACAACCAGGTTAACAAAAAAACAGGAACTTGGATACTTGATAATGAGAAATGTATTCAGACATGCTCCTAATAGGCATGTACATTATTATTCATCAAGTTACAAGACAAGCAGAAGATTAAAGAGCCATTTGTAAGCTGTATGTGCCATTAATGATTTATAAAATTTGTTCTATTTAACAATAACAAAGAGAATGAATGCTTCAGCAAGAATTTACAAGTTCCAAATAATGTGATATATGAACAGTTTTTGACACTAGGTGGAGCAGTTTCCTGGAGAAAGGCGTAAGGAGCCCTATACTCCTTTTAAATAAACCCTGTGCCTACACAAAGAACTCTAATGAGAACAAAAAATATCAACAGTCATTTTATAATTTTAAAAGGCAATCAAATATTGTACTAGTAGGCTGAATATATTTTATGGATAATTTTTTTCTTTGGCATTTGTTTTAACCATCGATTTTCCCCACCTTTGGGAATCAAATAGGAGGGATTTCAAAACATTAGAGTTGTCCTTTCTAGATGCAATGGGGATGTAGAAAAGTTTTAGAACTCTTTAATTACATTATAGACTAGACCCCGTTTTACTAGAAACTATAACATCCAGGTGTTATCATCTGAATGGATCTCTGAGTCATTTAATTATGACCATTTTAAAAGAAAAAATACTTGATTCTTTGTTATAAAATAAATACAAAGAATTTAATTTTGAGATATTTGCCCCTGTGTAAGATTCAGCGGCCAGTTTCTGCTTTAAAGTTTAGGATTATTTCATCACTAAAATATGTGGTTAAAAATTGTACATTTAAAAAATGTGTCACCTTGATTGCTGTTGAGTATTTAGAGAACACCTCTGTACATAGCATCCTGTTTCCTTTAATGAACAAGTACTTTACAGTATGTATATAGTACTTTAGCTGTTTTTTTCCTTAGACATTTGTCATAGTCTTTGACTCATGGCTATGTATTGCCTAAAGTAAATGTTATTGGGAAAACTGCATGGATATGGATTGAAATGAAATAGTGCAGTAGTTTCAATAAGAGAAATATTGTAGGAATTGTCTAAGGCCATGAGGTGTAATAACCCTTTTTTAAACAATTGTTAGCTGACCTCTACTTTTTTTCCTGTATCACTTCTGATTATTGCTTCATTGCTTGCCTGTCTATCCCTCTGTAAGACACAAAAAGGAAGAAATTGCCAACAGTAAGTAAGGTTCTGGTGTGACTTGGTGTTGCTCTGTATAGGTAGGATGACTCTGGCTGTAAGCATGCAGTGACTCAGGGCTCTTGCGGGAAGACCAACAGGCCCTTCTTAGAAAAGGTCTGTTTGCCCTTTTTTGATGATCAGCTCTTTGCCCCGTCTTTTCCCAAGGAATGACTCATGTATTAACTCTTATGACCATCACCACATCAAAGAGGAAACCAAGGTCTCCAGGACATAGACTGGGTTTTCACCAAACAAAAGGGGTATGCACAGACTGGATAACTTCCTGCCCTTAAATCACTATTTATTAATGTGTGCTTAAATAAAAGCTAAGGAGATTCAGTTTAGCTGAAACCTGTTCTCTTGGGTATATATTTTAAACAATTTATAATAACCTTTTTTAAAGCTCTATAAATATGTGGTCCATTTTTCCTGGACACTTAAATCAACTTTATGATCAAAAGTTGCTTAGGTTTAGAGGAGAAAGGTGAAGCACGTCTTTATTTATGGATTGATTCAATTTAATAAAAATAACTTCAAAGATAGGTCCTTATAACTTGGAGCATGATCGATAGAGTTTATACATTTCTTGTTTTGGTTAGAAATTTTATACTTAATAAACCTCATGTATTGTCCTGTTATTTGGGTTGTGCAGGCATTATTATCATTATTATTACTAGACTTTTCATCAAATGAGGAATGTGCGGTAGAAGTCTGATTACATCTATTAAGTTACGAACAGCTTCAGAAAACTAAAACCCACATTAACTAATACCCAGATTACTGCTTTTTTACATACTTTACTGCATTTTATAGAGAGGGACCAGAGGCTTAATTTGTAAACTTAGGACCTTTTTCACAAAAAGAATATAAACACTAGTTAAACTTCTCAGTGCCCATTTGGAATCAATAGTTTTATGCTCTAGCTTTCAAGGATTTGCTGTATACCATAATCTTAGGGAAGTTGTTTTCTGACTGTAATGAGAAAAGCAATGATTAGAAGAATTTGAGGAGTAGAATTCCTGTTTGCAAAAGCATTTCTAAAGTCGGACTTAAAGAAAACAAAGGTTTTGCAAGTCATACAGACAACCATTTGTCGAATTTATTTATCACCAAGATATTCCTAATGAATCACATTCCAGACTAACCACTGACTCCTTTTGTTCCTTTAGTGAAGGAGTGTGGCAAACAAATGTTTTCCCAGTGAATCAGCACAGGATTCTTGATTTTATTACCTTTGCCCTAAACTTTCCAGACAAAACTAATTGGAAATTTTGCCTTTGGGATCTCACTTGACTTCTGTGTATGGGTGATGGATTAGGCTATGAATTGACATTACAGATGTTATGCAAACAATTCCAGTCTTTAGGAATGTTTTATCAGTTCTGAGGGAGCCACCAAGGGTGGAAGAATGTCTGTCTGCCTGTCGGCCTGTCTGCTCATCTTCCTTACAAAAACTCACGCATATCCATACTGCACTCGTAATGTGACACCATGTTCTTCATCGTGGTTGATAAGGCTTGGCTAAATTAGGTTCATAAGGAACTAATATGACCATTTTAGGTTTTTACTTCTTAAAAAGTGTCTCTTGGAAGAAAGGGCCCTAAAATAAACCCAACAGTGAAGTTCAAATTCCAGAAAACATTTGTTTGTTTGTTTTGTTTTAATGAGTTAGCCATGATTCTCCACCTTCCTGACAGAGACCCTAAGTTGTGTTTGGGGCACCAGGACTTCTTTCTCAGGGCTTAGGTAGGTACTACAGTATTGTCAGGGCACTACATAGAACTTTCTTTCAGTACTAGATTATGGTATTTTTGTGTGGTATAATTTCAGGAGTGAATTTTATCTCTTTAGGATAGTTGTTTTAAATTCTAAATTTCTCTTAATCAGACAACTAGTAGTATATTATTATTCCTGAAGCTAGAGTAAAAATGGATCCTGAAGAATTGTCTCTGTTAATTTTTTTCAAGCAATCACTAAAACTTCCTCTTTGACACTGCTCATGAAGAAATATAAATTGTAGAAATGTAACTTAAGATTTAAAGAGAATATTTTAAAAGTTAAAATACTTTTTCCACAAATACCTATATCTGCTCTTATAAGAAATCTTGCCCCTCCTCTTAACTGTAGGTTTGCTCTCACCCAGACATATTCTTGCCTGGCCAAGCACTACATCTTTTATTCTGGACAGGCAAAATTATTCCATTATCAGAACATTGGAAAATATAATGTAATACAGCTCATGAGACTAGATACATGAGACTTTGAACTGAAGCAAAACCAGATGTTCAATATGTCACAAATAACTGAACTATCTTGTTGAGTTGACTTCACTTAGAATGGCTTTACTGAATTACTCCTGCCCACCAAAAAGGACACTAAAACCTGTCACTCTGATAAGAGTATAACATTTCATCACAAAGTTTAACCTCCTTATCACTAAAGGGGAGCTTCATTGGCAGTAATTAGGAACTCTCAGGGGCTATGTGTGCAATTAGTGACTGTTACTTGTGACTTGGTCGCTAACTAGGGAATTTGTAGTTTCCTATGTTGGAATAACCATGTGGGCTGTATAGAGCTGTTTGGCTTCCTTGGATTACCAC